TCCACAATTCCTTTCCTAGCTTAGGTCTGCAGAAAGCCTGCCATGGCCTCCTCAGGCTAGGAAGGGTTCTGGGCAAAGGGTAAGGAGACCTATTTTTCTTGAATTTAGAAAATGTGCAACCAGAAACTCCAAATAGGCAATCTACTGCTGAGACTGTTTGAAATTAAGTTGCTGCTTACTGAGTTCCTGATTTGGGTCTTTTTGGTAGACGTATCGAAATTTGCAACCAATACACTAATAGAGTGTATATAAACAAATTATGACCATAAAAATCTTCCTGATTTTTTTGCTTCCAAAACAAATAATAAAAGGAAAAAGTTTTAATCCATGAACTGTTAAAAGAGCTCAAACAAAAACATTAAAAGATTTATAGAAACTAATTAGAATGTTTACAGTAGAGGAGAAAGATGATTAATGAAAATTCAGTCATCTTGTCAGTAGTTCCCATTCTGACCAGAAAGGCAGGTCACAGGTGGGTCTACCAAGAGGCAGAATACGGACTCAAATCCTTGACTTGGCTTATTGCACCTGTAGCCAAAGTGCCCTACGATAAATGTGGGGCCCTGAAAGTGGGTTTCTTAATTTATCTGTAACAGGATTGAGAACAAATTGCTTTACTCTATTCCTGAATACAGATGGTGCCATATTTTTACAAGAATATTAGTACAGGTTGGATGCTTTTGAAAATGATGTTTTGAGAGAGTGTTTTTCTTTTCTTCTTAAAATTAGAGAACTTATCTCCTAAAATAACATTTCCATGTAACTTTCTCTTGTGTTTTCCCCCAGATTAAGGAATGATGTTGAGCTCTGGTTCAGTAGATGGAAGCTTAAAGCATCTCAAGAGGCAAAGAGAAATTGTTATATGAAGTCATACTGAGTTCTCTTGAGCATGGACGATTATTTAAGAATGTGTAGAACTCTTAGATAAGCAATTAGTGGGAACCACCCCTCTGATGTGTAAGATAAATGTTAGTGCTTTTCTAACTACAGATTAAGATGTACTTGTCATCCCTACATTCCTGAATTATAATGATGAAACGTGGGTCCCAATTAATTTTTTTATATACTATCTTTGTTATACAAAAACAAATGTTCCAGGGACAACAAAGAGGCTGGCTTTATCTATCATGCAAAACCAGTTACCCTTGAGAGCACTTTTTACTACAGGGGCTACTGATCGGGCTTAATTATCAAAGTGGTTAGTGCAAGGCCCATTACATCTATGAGTCTGCTTCTAGTCGTATTTTCGGGAATCACAGGAATCAAACAAGCTTTGCTCATATTGGTGTATCCTTGTATGATCAAGATACTTTTGGCAAAATGATGTAAGGTTGTGGTTTCTACTCAGTGTGTTGGCACTTAATAACGTATCTTCACACTCTTGATGGAGTTGAAATATTTTGGCCATATGGTACCAAAAGGATACATACACTTTAAGCTCAACTTGGACTTTCCTGTCTGAAATAGCACAGCTCCCTACACTCTCCCTTTACCCAGCTTTTTCTTATGCTGCTTATTATTTTCAGAAATTATATAATTTTATAATATAACAGTATTTTATAATAAAATATAGTATGTTTTTGGTCTGCTCCCCCATGAGAATGTAAGCTCCTTGAGAGCAGGGACTTTCTTTTATTGATTTTGTCTGCAGTACCCATGACCATGCCTGGCAGGTAGTAGGTGTTCAATAAATACACAGTAAATGAACAAGCTTAGAGATTGGTTTGCCAAAATGGGTAGTGACCTATAGAAACTTTCAACAGGGTCTATGTACTGTAATTCTATGAGGTGAGAATAAATTTACAGACCACTTGAGTAATATAAGCGATTTAATAAATAACCACTTAAGTGATTTAAGCTTTTATAGATATAAAAAAATTTTGTTTTTTTATTATGTTTCCAGTCTTGGTAACCTCTTAATAGTTTATCAAAATTCTGTGGTACCCCTATCTAGGAACGTTCCTGAATAGATTCTGGAATTACAGTCACAAGACACAGGAAGCTAATGCAGAATGACTTCAAGGACCAACATTAAATTGTACAGCCTGTTTAACTCTCTCTAGACCTCCTAACATGGTTTAACTAATTTAAATCTCTTTATTGCTAGATATGTGTCTCTCTGTCTCCCACTGTCTCACACACACACACACACAGAGAAAGAGAGAGAGAGAAAAGCAATTATCTTTTTATTTAGACAAAGAGAAAAAGATAGAAAGGCTCCCTCTTCCCTTCTTTCCCCACTCCCTGTGGCCCCAAAGTAGATTCTTAGAGGTTCAGACATGTTACCCTCAGACCTACCCAGTGACTAGATGTTAACAGTCACTTTAGGCACTGGCTTAGCTGGGCTGGCCCTCCCTGGGAGAACTACTGGAGACCTATTGAGCTTGAGAACTTCACCATGACAAGATTTTAAGTTGCACTGTAACCATGGGCCCACTAGGACCAGCTCAACTGACGCATCTTATCAAGAGTAATATAGAGCGGTTTTTCAGGATCTGAGAGTCCCCCTTCTCCAGTTCAGGCTGGTTGAGATCACCAGCCCGTCAACTGGGCCTGCACAAATGCCCGAGAAGTACCCTTTTGACGTCAAAGGACTGAAAACTCTACCCTCAGATCATACTACCACCACTGTTTTGTGAACATGCATCCTGTGAAGAGCCAGAAAGCTTGACTACGCTTGCGCAAATTACCTCATTTCTCCTTACGTCCAATCATCTATCCCCACAGTTCAGACTGCCTTGCCCTTCGTCCCATAAATTTTGCCCCAAGCCCTGGAATTAGGGAGACAGATCTGACAGCTTATGCCTCCTGTCTCCTTGCAGATTAACCTTGCAAAAAAACTGTATTCTTTTCTCAAAAGCTGATGCCATATATTTGGCTCTTTATGCAGTTCAGGCAAGAGAACCCCAATTTTGTGCAGCAAGAGCCTGATAGATGCAACTTAACACACATTCTAACTTGCAGTTTGTAGCCAGGAATCTGCCCTGCAACCCCAACCTGTGCCATCAGAACGGAGGTGACCTCAGCTCTTACTGACTTCGTTCCTCCTAATACCCCAGACAGAGGTGAAGGGGTCTAACTACATTTGACTCAAATTGATTTTACTTAGACAAGGTTATTAAATTAGAACATTCTTCTAGCTCTGTTTGGTTGAGTAGTAATCTTTTAAATCATGAGCACCTTTACCATCTAAACTGTAAAGAAACATTAGTATGGTAACAGCTTCTTTCTTTTCCAGAGGGAGAAAAACTATCTCAGGAAACTCTATTTTATGCACAGGCTGAACTCTGCTTCATCTAATTTATTCCAATCTCCAACATTAGATAATACAAACTGAACTCTTAAGACATATTCACACACAAAGGTATTCATCACGAATGCACTCATTTGTGAAAACAATAGTATACTAAGGCCAGACCACGTGCTAGAAACAGACTCAGATTTTGTAATGGCTGTATCATTGGCAATACACGACTATAGGCAATCACCAAATCTTGCTTCTCAAGTCACATCTTCTATAGCAGTAGTTCTCAACTGGGGTCAATTTTGGCCATCAGGGCAATGTCTGCAGACACTTTTGGGTTGTCACATTGTGGGGGCTACTGGCCTTTGGTTGGTAGAGGCCAGGGATGTTGCTAAACATCCTCCAGTGCACCGAAGGGTACCAGAGTGATACCCCCAAAATATGACACTTTGGAATCAGGATTATTTTGAGCTAAAGAGGAGCAGGAAAAGCTCTTTACCTTGCTTTGACTGTCTAAAAATAAAATATAAAATCTCCCCCTTCGTAAAGAAAATTTACATTTATAAATGAAATTTCCGTTTGTAAAGATGTCTCTATACCAGGCAGAGAGCTACTCCTAGAGGCAGCTTCTACCATCTGAGAAACCCTTATCTGCATAACAAGACAACCATTACTTACCACACCTCCCTCATCTTCCTGTAACTTGCCTCCTCTGCCCAGAAGCCCAAAACTCCTTTTGGTTTAGCCTAAGATGGTATATAAGCTTCAATCATCTGACCACCTCCTTGACTCTCAATTCTTTGAAACTCCAGGAGACGTAAGTAATTAAGCTGGGGTTTTGTTGTTGTTGTTGTTGTTGCTTTTTAAATCAGTTTGATTCACAAGCCCTAGCCGTTAAACCAAGGAGGGCAGAGGGAAAAAGATTTTTTCCTCCCTACAGCTCAAGACAGTCTGCCACAAAAAAGAATTATCTGACCCAAAATGTAAATAGTGCTGAGGTGGAGAAACCCTGCTCTCTCCCACAACAGACAGGAATCTAAAGCATGAGAAGTCAGCACGGTGTTTGGGAGCTTAGTGTCTTAAGTGAAGCCAAACTAATTCTCCTCCACGGCTGTGAGGCTTGGACATCTCACTAAGAACGTCAGTGTTTCAAAGCGCTTAATAAAATGACTCTGCAGGATCACACAGATGGGTTTTATTCCCACGTCAGTCCACCAGTTAGAGAATTGGGAGTGCTACACCACTGCTCTGCTGGTAGGACATGTGTGTTGGTTAAAGCACAAGGAGAAATCATGAGAGCTTTACCAAATCCAAATGCCCAGTGACATGTGTGTTAAGAGCATTAGGAACTTAGTGGACAGAAAACTCAGGTTTTTTGAGGAAAGAGTTATTAGGTGGTCTGTAGGCTAGGATTAACCCCAATAGACGTGACGAGCAGAGCAGCAGGTCTAACTGCGAATCCAGAGACTCTCCTGTGAATGTGGAGTGGGAAAGGAGACCTGCCTGGCTCCAGTGCCAGCTGTGCGCCTACTGTGTGATTATAGGCAAGTCTCAAACCTTCTCTGTAAAATTAGCAGCTGGTCTGCGCTCTGTAGGATTCCCTTCAGCTCCATCATTCTCATGCAATGGTTTCTTCACCTCCTGCCCTGGCACACAAGGATGGAGATGACTCTGAAACAGGATGCCAGTGAGGTGGATTTATTGATGTGCATCGTATGTGGTAAAGGACATGAAGAACAAAATGAAGACATGCAGGTTTGCATAAATGGGAAAACTTTTAATTTGATAATCACTCATTCAATAACCATTTATTTACTGAGCAGCTCTTCTGAATAAGATATACAAAATTATGTATTTTTCTTTTGCAAAATTTGTTTTAAGCAAATCTGAGAAGTTCTTTAAAAGTTTATTTCCTTGGATGTACAGTAGGTAACATTTAGTTCCACCAACGAAGTCCCCTCTGCATTCCACACAGGACAGATGGGTCTCCACCAGCTGACAGCCTTCCAGGCGGTGCTGACTCAGCGCATATTTGAATATTCCTCTCTGTGGGAAATAGAGCTATAACATCTATACTTATCTCAACTGCTGACAACCTGCTACTACAACTTTCTTCGCAGTCTTGGTTTTTAAAAGATTTAAAATTAACTCTTCTTTTAGAGAACAGATGCAAACAAGTAAACTCAAAACTTCAATGCAATGCTCATTCTGTAGCTCTGGTTCCTGTCTCCATACTGGCTGCCCACTGGGCTGAGTGCTGGCCTCTGGTGCACACGGTGCGGGGGAGCTGTCTGCTAGGGAGAGTGGTGCCTCGGCTCCCACAGTTACAGCTTCAAAAAGGCCACCTGGAAGAGGAAGAAAACCCCACAATTCTTTACTTATATAACAATGAAATGGCTAAATGCACAGGAAATCAAATCAGGTAAGTTTAGTCAATAAAGATGCATGCTGATCAAAAAGAAAAATGACTTGTAGGTGGGTCAGACATGGCCATTTTACAGAAGGAGCCAATTAGCCCATTTTTTAAATGAACCATATAGTAATTAAAATGATTCACATACACTTTAAGGAAAAAAAATTAAAGTTTTAATTAACACTAAAATTGTATTGCCGTGATACTTCATTACTGGATTACTTCCAGTCCTCTTTCTCATTGGTTCAAACTGCTGTTTTGGACCTTCCAGATGCAGAATTCAGAGTCCTGAAGATTCCTAGGCAATTCCAGTTCCTCATCACTACCGGCCTCTCCTCACCAGCCTCTCCTCAGGTCACGCCAATGCTTTTCATCACATTCAATTATATTTATTGTGCTTGTCGGTAGAAATTAATCTTAAAACTTGGTGTTTAAAAATTTTTTAATTCATCTCAGATCAATGCATTTCATTTCCTAATAGTTCTGAATAACAGAGAAACAAACACAATGATGTCAATCACAAATGTGTAGAAAGTTTTAGTTCAGAGGTGGTAATAGATTGGGGACTGTGCCAATATCAGGAAGAGAGTGGAATGTGGAGTAGAGATAAGGATGGGGAAAGGTGCAGGGTTGGGAAGAAGACCCTAGGCCTTTTCGGGGGGAAAGAGTGAGCAACAGAAGTGAAAACATTCTACTCTTGGACAGTTGGTTCTCAAGTCCCCGGATGCAGTCAAAGGAGGCATGGATTTAACGATCCCTGTTAAGGGGAAAGGGAAAGGAAGAGTCACGCAGGGCAGACAGCATCTGCTTTATGGGGAGTAATTCAGAAGGATGTTACTCTTCATACAGTGCTGGAGAGAAACGCACCTGCTGAGTTTCCATATCAACTTCCTGCTGAGTTTCTACATCAAGCTCTGCAATGAGAACACCAAAGTAGAAGGAGCAGGCAAAGAAGAAAGGTTAAGGTTCCTAAACAAATGTAAACACAAACAATTGATACAAACCTCAAGGGCTCACTGTGAAGAGTAAATGAGATAATGGTTATGAAAACACATGTGTTTCTCTCCCCGGCCTCTCAGCCGATAGCAGATATTAGGAACCCATGAACATACCAGATGAGAAGGGGATGTTCAAGAAAGACCAGCTGGGCCATGAGGGAATGATCATAGAATTACCGGGGAGGGGATTTGGGGCCGTTGAGTCTGACTTCCGGCTCACTAGGGACAGTGTCCGTCAGGTGATATTTTGCTTCTACGAGAACAGTTTATAGGAACCTTCCAAAGAAGACAAGGCCACTGCTAACATTCAGATACAGTAAGAAGACGGATGAAAACCAATTAGCTCTTTTTTAATTCTGAAAATTGCTATGTCATAGAGCATTCCAAATAGGAACTACTAACCATACCACTGGTAAATGTAATCATAAAAGTGGTTAGAACTTTAGCTCTGGAATCACATAGACCAGTGTTTCTCAACTTGGGGCGATCTTGCCCACCAGGGGACATTTGGCAGTGTCTGGAGATATTTTTGGTTGTCACAACTTGGAGGATGCTATTGGCATCTAGGGGGCAGAGGCTAGGGATTCTACTAAACATCCGATAATGTGCGGGACAGCCCCCACAAGATAGAATTACCAGCCCCCAAATGTCAATAGTGCTGATGCTGAAAAACACTGAAATTATAGACACAGCATTTTAGAATTAGATCTCTCATATATATACTAGCTGTGTGACCTTCAACAAGCTTGTTAGCTTCTCTCAGCCTTCCCTCATCTGCAAAACGGGAATTATAACACGACCTACCTGAAATTTATGAAACACTTTATAGTATATTAAGCCTCTTTTAACTCCTTTCATCCTCAGCACAGGCCTGTGATTTAGATAAAGTAGGCATCCGAAACTTTGTTTTACAAATGAATACAGAGAAGCTCAGAAAAATTAAGTGGCTTGCACAGGATACAAAGCTATTAAGTGGCAATGATGGGCTTAGGAAGAAATTTTGATTCCTAATCCATGCTTTTCCCACTGTAACTTTACAGATGAATGAGACAAAACTGCAGAGGTTTAGGAACTTTTAATCTTCATCATTGCCTCAAATATCAAAGATTTATTTTCTTTTACCTGTCCGTGAATATGAACCCAAGATGGGACACTGCTACAGAAGAGGCTGAGCTGATTACATTAACCGACGAAAAACGGAGCCCCTCAACAAAAAAGGAAGACTTCAAAATCTGACCTAATATGTCTTTGTTTCATCTCTAGTTTTTATAGTTCCGCTTGCCAAGTACATTATGTATTTTTCAGGACTTAATAACAAGAAACGGCAATCATCCTTGGGAACAGGGACCTTACAATGCATTTTAGCTTCTTTTTATTTAAAACACTGTGAGTTAACATATTTCAAATGCTGATTTTGTGTTCCCTAGCTTTTATCCATGACAGGAAAAATTGCTTTCCCGAACTGCCATTTATTTTAAGAGAGGATAATTTAATTTTGTTCCATTATACTGAGAGAAATCTCTCTATTTCATCTTTTTAGTTTTATTCCCCAAAGTAAAAGTTTTAAAGCTTCTCAAAGTAGATGAGTACAGCTTTAGGCTCCCTTGTTACATTTCTGAAATATATAGTTACAAAACTATAAATAATTATTTAAAAGAAGGGAAGCGAAGACTCTCGTGTCGGCTGGAAGGTTTGATGTCCGTGTCCCATGCACCTGAATTTGGACACTTGGGAATGCAACGGGGGAGAGAAAGTGAAGATGTCTAAAAATAAGGTCTTTGCTTTGAGTCATCATCTAAAAACAATCTTCTTAAACCACAATAAACAGGGCCAGGCTGATGTAATAGCTGACCAAATGTTAAGTTTATAATGCTTTAAGACATTTGCATAATATGTTAAACAGTTTTAATGTTCTTTTATCTTAGTTAACATTATATTATCAAATTCTATTCCTCAATATAGATTTGGAATTTCAATCAATAAAACGATATGCTGTCAAGGCAGGCTGCAGATAAAATTAGCATTTAAAAAAAAGCTACATAAATGCTCTGGGGGTGTGCTAAACAAGACAGATAAAACTATTAAATACTGGAAAATGTGAGTTTCATAATAATTGTAGGCTTTAGAAAAGACTCCTTAGAATAAGCAGCATGGCCATACACAAACATTCCTTTTAAAGGGTACTGCGGTCTCTCTCTCTCAAATGCTATGCCTTAAAAATGTATTTCTGTCTAGGTATGGATCATATTCAAAGTTATGTTCTGAAATAGAATGCTTTTATGACACGGAAAAGAGAGTTTATATTTTATATTATAAAATATACTTTATATTATAAAATCCAGTTTCTAGGATCAAACTTCATTTACAAAATAAAATATACAATATAAACTAACTATAAAAATAATCAAAGAAAATGACTTTTTCAAGCATTCATCAAATATATTTGATGTCTTGAATAACACTGCGATTATTTACTAACTCACTAATTCAGCGCTGATCAGGCCTATGCTGAGGACACCTGGACTCAACGTTTCGAGTCCGATAAATAGTATAAGATATTCACCCCTCTGGGCTGGCAGGCTGGCTTCATCATTCAATTCATTCAATCGTTAAGTACCTCCTACGTGCCAGTGATGGTCCAGTCACAGACCACACTGAGAAGAAGTGTAACCTGCAGGTGTGGGAGACAGTCAAGTACCAAGATGATTCTATTAAAGTGGGATAGTTTAAGACGGAAGCCTAACGCCCGCTGAGAGAAGAAAGACTATTCTTGGGTTATGAAAGGAAGCAAGATTTCTAAGGCAGTACCCGGAAAGAGTTAATTATTGCTCTAATTATGAAATTGTGCTAGCACGGAGGGGCAATAAAACCTGGTGTGGCATACACTTTTTCCCGCTAAAAGATGCAGCAAACAGGAAGGATGGAACAAAAGACCAAAGATGTGAGAAGTAATACAATGAGGAAGAAGATCCTATCCCTCTTATAAAGACAAGTATGTGTATACTTAACTGTTGACAGAAACACTAGACTAAGGCAGCATCAGTGCAGCCTTCCAACTCCAGAGCTTCTGCACAAATTCTCTAAGAGCCTTTAGAAAGTAGGGGACAAGGAAGTAAGATCAATGTCTGTAAATTAATTTAAACCTTTACTTGGTATTTCTTTTAAGAAGCCGTGGATGCACTACGATAATTTACATATAAATAAAAAGCTTGTTGATTTTCATCTACTTGGGAACTAGTTAAGCTAAGCACAGCAACGCTTTCTCCAGACATCTAGGTGGAAAGCAACACAGTATGTGAAGTACCAGAAGAGACACGTGTGCAAGGGAGAGAAAGAAGAGGACTGATGTCTCTTCATCGCTACATGGGGCTGAAAACATGGACAAATGCAACACTGGGTCTTGAGCCTATTCTTCAACAAAGCAAGTAAGTTCTTGATATAAGCTTCTCATCACTTCTTTCACAGTAAGTGGATTGCGGAAAATACTGCTGACATTGGATGGTGCTCCTCTAACACTGTGGTGAACGAGCAGTTCTGGTGCTCCCAGTTATATAAAACAAACCCAGTAACACTGCCAGATAGCAAACCGATCGGGTAAACATTTGTATAGCAATAGTCTTTAGGTGTTACATAAAAATATATTTTCTCAAGCGCAAAACATATTTGTTAAAGGAAATAATTCTATGATACCAATACAAGTAGGTGTTAAAACGCATAATATAAAAAAGTGCCACCACAATAAATACACTATCACTCATAAATCAAAAGGTCCTTTAAATTTCTCATCCCTATTAAATACCTGCAGGAGCGAATTCAGCCGAAGGGGACCAGTGGTTCCATGGCAGCTCTGGAAGGGACTGGTGCTTTGAAAATCACCACTGTGCCATCCTGTCAGCAACACACTTCTAACCAAACAAGTTTATTCAGAAACACT